CCGAGCGCGGCCCGCGGGGCCTTTAATTGGGTGTCCCATTTTTATAGTGGCCATTGTTGGAGCAATTAGCGAGAGACAATAAGCGCCAAGAGGCGTTTAATTCGATTCTGTGCGCCGGCTGCGGCCAGGACCAGGGCTCTCTGGAAAAAGTGGCTGGCCCAGGAGGGACGCTCTGGTTCAGTGCCGGCGCCCTTGCCGGTTTTGTCTTGGGTGTGGGAGTTCTCAAGGGGCAAGTTGAAAGCCGACTGAGAGCAACCAGGTCCTGGTCCTGGACTGGGGAAACCCGTCCTGGGCCTCGTTAGCCCTGTGGGGCGTCCCTGGAACCTCCGCGCCTGCGGGCGGCACGCGTCCGAGCTGTTGCCACCGCGAGGTCCCTGTTAAAGGGAGAAAAGCAGAGAGGACAGGGACGTGGAAACCGGCTTCCTTCCTCCTTCGCCCTGGGTCCCCCACCTCGATCGCCCGAACTGCGTTCCAATTTCCTTCCCCATTGGGGGAGGAGGGGCAAACGAAATAACCCCCTTCTGGCGCGTACCACACCTCCCTCTCCACCCAGCCAGCCTCCCTACCCCCTCCTCTGCCTGGGCCCTCGGATTAGGTTACCGTGGCCGGGCGAGGATTTTTACTGGATACGAGAATAGCACAGGTAAAGCTGTATAAACAGCTCGCCGGCTGCCGGACGGGAGGGTTACGCCGGGGACACGGCCCAAGGCGCCACCGCCAGGCACCGGCTGCGCGAGCGAAACGGCGGGGGAGCCCTCTCGGGCGCGGCACCCCGGGACAGCGCAGGTTAAACACATGTTATATTGTATTGTATCTCCGTAGTTCCCACCCAAGAGTCCTTTCCCGTATGAGCTGAAATGCAGGAGGTGGAGAGCGAACTCAAAAAAGGTGATGGGAAAGAAAGAGGCAGTGAGCAGTGCTGACTGTTCACTTAAAACGAAACATAAGCGAGCAGGGAACTGGTCGGGAGAGGGGGGCGGACGCAGAATAAGGAGGACTTCAAAATTCACTGGCAAAGGAAAGATGCTAGAAGTGGGAACGGCAAGGGGGAAACCCGAAGGAACTCAGGCGAAAAGCGCTCCCGGCACGCGCACCGCTCTTCCCGGCTCCCACCCACCCAGGCCTAGGGTCAACATGCCCTGGCAAATAAACCGAGGCAGCGCTTTGGGGGTGGTATGTGGTTTGATTTACTTTTTTTTCTTTTTTTTGCTTATTCATCTATCACCGCTTAAAACTCGGAAGGAAACCCGCCCGGGCCAGGAGGAGCGGCGAGAGATGTCGGAGGCGAGACGCGCTCCGAAATCACCCCGTCCCAAACCGCCCCCACCGACAGGCTGGGCCGTCCAGCTTCGAGGGATCCTGGCCCTCCCTCGGCTGCTCCCCTCTTCTTCCCGTAGAGAAAAACCCTGATCGTAGTGAGATAAAAATTGGGTAGGTAGGGGTGTAGCGGAAAGTGGGAGGGGAGAGGGAGAGGACAGGGGATTTCTGTTTTCGAGTTTGACAATGCACTTGTCAGAGGGGCTGGCCATGGGGGGAGCCCCGGGGTTGGGGAGGAGAGAAAGATTTCCCCTTGAGGGTGAGTCGAATGGAATGCGAGTCACCCAGGAGGAAGGGGGCACCTCCGAGCTCTCCCTCCCTCCTGGGTTTGGGGGTTTGGGGGACAGGTGGGAGCCACAAGAGAGAGGAGGGGACGGAGGTGCTCCATCGGTCGGCGCGGCATCTCCGCGGCCACAGGCCGCCTGTCCAGCTCCAGAGGCACCACTGACTTAGGAAGCGACTGCCGGCGCCTAGACCCAGGCTCAGGTCCCAGGGGTCCTCAGGCCTCACTCCTGAAGCCTCCGGGACTCCCATGGAGGAGAGCGGCCACCGCAGGCAGGAGAGGGGTCAGTCGTGCGGGATTCACCCACGTGAAATCGAGGCCCTCGGATTTTTCGGGCGAGGAGGGCTGCATGCGGGGCACCCGCTCCAGTCTCTCCCAGCCCCCTGGCGACCGAGGTTTATCGCCCGCAGGCTCGCGGCTACCCATCTCCAGAGCCCCTGCCTGGCCCCAGCCCCGAGCCCCAGCGTTCACCTGCGCACTCTCCTCCCGCCACTTCATTTCGAAATTTCAGGGGCAGGAGGGCGGGCTTTCTCTTAAGGCTTTTATATTTTTACTTCTCTAGATTAGCCTGGGTGTGATTGTTGCTGGAAAGCCGACTGAGCTTCGAGGGCAGGGGACTTCACAACAGGGAGAGGGAAATGGGAAAAGGTAATTCCATCCAGATCAGGAGACAAGTAGGAGCGAGCTTCTAAAAGTATGAATTAATTGTTCGTGTCTTCCCTTGGACAGACTGGAGATCGCACGGTAAAATCTGGATCTGCTCATCCTTCACCCTTCCCTCCATCTGGGATTGCACCCCGCCGTCTCTCCCCGCCAGGCCCCGGCTCGCGCTCAGCACTCCGCTGCCTGCCACCTCGCGGACCCCAAGCAATTTGTTACATAAAACAAAACAGCAGCCACCCACGTGTGTCTGCAGACCCGCAGCGACGGACACCCAGGAGACCTACGCTCACGCGCCTTGGGCAACGTGTTTTTCTGGTCCAACCACCGCACACACACTCCCACCACCACCACCTCTAGTCCTCGCTGCCCAGCGGCCAGAAGTGAAAAGTGGGATACGGACTTTAGATCTGGGGCTTTCTTGGCCCACCCGCTGCGGTTGGTAAACCGCTCTCCAATTACTCTCGCCATTAAGGAAAAGAGGTGATCAGAAATATTTGGTCCGTGCACAATGACGTACCACGAAAGGAATGCACTTTTATGTGTGAAAGGGCTTGGACGCGGAGACCACACCTGAGCACAGTCCAGAAATGGTTAGAATAACCAGCTGCCAGAGAACACTGGGCCTTTGGACTCTGTCTCCACAGCCTTGTCAGGATCCCTAATTCCCTGCCACCTCCCGCAGTTTTCGGCACAAATTGCCTTAACTTCCAGAAGAGTGGTTTTCATCCACCCGGCTCCCGCGTACCGCCCCCCTCCCCAGGCCATTCTGGGTGGCCCTGTGCTCCTGGGCATCCCGCAGAGAGGCTCCACCGATGTGGGCCCAGGGCCCCCACTCTCCTCCTTTCACTGCACCCCCAACTCACCCCCATCTCCTATATCGTTTGCAAAAAGGGAGGATGGAAATATCAAATAAAGCAAAATGCAGCTTCCCCAGTCTCCTGGCTTTTGGCGGGAAAAACCACCTCCAGCCCTGATTCCCTGGGGCTGATGGAGGTATCTTGTGTAGAATGGAGGGTGGGCCTGTAGGGTGTAGGGCTTCTGTAGGGAGGCCACTCACCCTGATCCTCAGACGCCAGCTGGCTTCTCCAGTCAGGAACCTTAGGAAGCTGGGAGCTGGGCCTCCCGGAATCAATATGGGAGCCCCTAAGACCCTGCACCCACCTGGGTCCTAGTGTGCATGACCTGGACCCCATACCCCACCCCAGATTCCAATGGGCAAAAAACAACTCCTTTCCTCAGAATCACACATCTGAAAGGTTTAATGGTAAGCCGCTTCCCACGACCTGGCCATTGGGCCCCGCAAGCGTCTCACACCCAGACTACCTGCCTGGCTGGGACCCCCAGCCCCCTGCCACAAGATCAGCAGCCCCCACACACCTTTCCTGCCCCAGCCGCTAAGGGATGGAAGGGCTGCAAATGCTACTTTATTGTCATTTGTCCCTTTAAAGTTCTTCATCTCCACCCACAACCCCAGTGCCTTGGTGAATGTGGGTGACGGGGAAGAGAAAAGGACAGGGAAACTGGGAACCAAGCAGAGGGGAGACCCTGTGGGTTAGACTCCTTTCCATCCCCTGCCCTGGATGGAATCACCCCTGTCCTCTTCCTCAAGCACCCTGGGGTATCTGAGAGGAAGGAAAGGTGGGTAAAAGCCACTCTACTGCTCACATTCACTCAACTTCCCTTGCATTTTAACATTATCTGTCTTTGTTAGGAACTGCCTCTGAGTGAGTGACTTCTTGGAGATCTGTTGGTTCAATGTCCCAGGGAGAAAGTAGGATTCTTGTCCCCTCTGCCCTTCCCACTCTCCCCAGGACCCTGGGCACCCTCTTTCGGAAGCTGTGGTTTTCTCACCCACCTTAGGGTGCTCCTGGAAGCAAAGTGCCTGCCAGCCACCAGCTCCCCAGGGGATGCCAGAAGCCCACACACCTGGGCTCCGACTGGCAGCGCACAGCACACAGCTGTGTCTTTAATTAGATGCAGAGACAATGAGCCTAAACACGCACTTGGTGGCGGTGAGAAATAAACATGAAACTGACTGGACCAGGCAGCCACCTTGGAGACAAGGCTGAGCTGCTCCTTCAGAACGGGTTCTCTTCCCCAGCCCTCTGCCCTCTCTGAAGCGGAAAACGTGTCTTTGGCCCTTCCCAAGCATTCCCACCATCTCTTACGTTTCTGTTTAGTTTTTCCTTCACATGCCTAGTTCTACTGGCTCTTTCCTCCAAACAAGGACATACACACATGCACACACCATGCTCGTCCAAGGTCACTGCAGAAAGCCAAAGATTTCCAGTGACCAGAAAGAACAACAAGGGCTGGGGTCTAGTTCACTTTCTTCCAGGGGCAGCTGTTCCTTTGGAGTGGAGACCTCTTCTTAATTCTCTCCACGTGGAACAGGAAAAGCCAGTGCAGAGTGAGAGAGAGAAGATTGCCATATTCACTGACCTGGGTAGCCTGCTCCCGCCGGCCAGCTGTTTTATATTTTTTCCTGACTTGCCGGAGATCAGAAGGCAGAAATGACAGGCAGACTTAGCCACTGCGGTCGCCGCTGCGGTCCTCACCGCCTCAGCTGCTTACGGCATCTCACGCCGGCTTCCAGCGAGAAGTAAAACCTGGGTGATGTGCATCCTTCCTAGGAACCCCCTCCCCCACCGCCTTCTGCTCACTGTAGAGAGCAGAGCTCTTCCGGGTTGCAAAGAGGGAAAGGGAGGGAGGGAGGAAGACTGAGGGAGGAATGAATTTCACCCCCTTTTGCAAATAGGCAAACCACACGTCAGGAGTGTGTGACACTGGCAGATTTGGGGGAATGGGGGAAGACTGCCTGAAATGTGACCAGCCCCTGGCGCCCACAAAGCCCACTGTCTCAGGCAGGGCTGGAATTAACATTGTAAATGTCACAGGTCATGCTGACTGGGTCATTAGCTACTGTAGGTAGAAAAGCTTTTCCAGAGTTTTCCTTCCATTTTTGGAGGAAGGAGGGACCTGGTGGGAGCATCCAGAGTACAATTCGTGGCCCCAGGGCTCCCTTTCTCCTTTCTGACTGTTCTCGTTTCTGTATATGCAGACGCTTCAAAAATGACTGCACTCTACCCTCAGGCACCTGCAGCCACAGCTGGCCCCCCGAAAGTTAGGAGAAGCAGGATGACCAGTGGCTGGGCTCTGGGCTTGCTTACTACTCTTTGGTCCTCCTCCTGACCGCAGTAAACACATTTGGAGGTAAGGGCGTATGTGCACACACTAAGTAAAGGTTTGGAGAGGGGCTTTCTAGGGGTCCGAACTCCTTTCAAGAAGACTTCTAGGGGAAATTAACCTAGGGGAGTGAGATAAGGGAGCAAGAATCAGAGGTCACTCTGAAGATAAAATGTCAGGAGGAAAATGATCCTATTTGTCTACCCGCCAGGCCCAGCTAACTCCAGTCCTTCCTTTGAAGCCCCCCTCTCCGGTACCGTCCCTACTTCTGCTGGTGGGAGATCAAAATAACCCACGGAGGGAATCTGTCATGAATAAATTTCTGCAAGAGTAAAATGAAACTCCATCAACATTGGGGTAGAAAGGTCAGCATCCATTTGTTTTGACAGGTAGGGCTTTCCCTCCACAATATTTATACAGTAAGAATATGGAGACTGACTTTCAAAATAAATCAGTCTTTGGAGAGAAATAAAACAAAATGTGTCCATTGCTGGGCCAGGAAGTCAAGAAGTGTCTTGGGCTGGAAGCAGTTGGATCGGAAGGGGTGGTCCCATTTGACAGTGCCAAGTGTTCAGTGGTGGCTCTTCTATGGGGGGGGGGGACCAGGCCATTGGTCAGCAGGGTCAGAATGAGTGGAACAGAGGAGGGGCAGCAAGGTGAGGAGGGCAGCTGGGGAGGGTAATGGAGTGGGGAGCTCAGGGTCTGGAGAGCAGGTACCCAGCGACGCCCAGGCAGCCAGTGTCCCGTTCAGGGGTGGGCTGTTGCTCCCTTCTTGGAACTCGGCCTGCAGCCACTTAAAGCCCCTAGACTCAGACACTACACCGACGGGTTTGGGTCCCTCTCCGCCCCCCTCTGGGATCTAGGTTTAAGATGTTCTAGCCGAGAATGTGCGGAGAGGGGCTTGTGTTTTGCCAACTGGCCAGGAGAAGAAAAGGGGGGTCTCCCTGCCACTGAGAAAGCCCCACAGTCCACCTGGCGTCACAACTCAGCCCCTCCTCTGCCCTGCTGCCCTCTCCCTCCTGTCTTCCGCCACCAAGTGGCAGAGCCAAGTTCTTTGGCGCCAGGGCGCAGAGCCAGCAGGCATTTCGAGGACGCAGGGGACAGGGTCATGCTTTTGACAGGTTTCCCCCAACCTGTTGTCCGGGCGCATCTCAGGGGGCTGTGGGTTGGACCGAGGGATTCCGGAGGCCTTTAGGGTCCCCAGGCCACCTCGTTCCTCCTTGAGCGCTGCCTCGTGGAGAATAGGACCTCCAGGCCCAGGAGGGGTCATCCGTCGCCTAGAAGGTGACAGTGGTCTCCTTAATTTGGATATTAGCTGTACCCACACCCCGCCATCCACCTGGCCCGTAGGGCTGTTTGCCTCTGTCTCCAAGCTCTCCTCCCGCTTCTGGGCCCTTTCGGGTTCCCACTCCCCTACCCGCTCCCCTCCCCTCCCTCCCGCAACACAGAGGCGTCTCCAACCTTTACCCCTCGAAAGCCCTTTACCCCTCGAATCAGGATCTCGCCCTGCACCCCCGACCCCAGGCCGGCTTCCGCTCTGCACTTTTGTAGTCCCTCTCCGCCACCCCTCCCACCCACACCCTCGCCACCCTGTCCCCTGCGCTCGCCCACGACCCTCCGCCCGGTTCCGGCTGGTCTGGCGGCCCCTCTGCCCGTTCCTTTTCTGCTGACGCGGGCACTTGCCTGTTTCCAGGTCTAAAGTGACTCTTCGGTTAAGGGACTGAGAAATCTGATCCGGTGCACGCCACTGCCCCACCTTCCCGGTTCTACCTTTAGCAAAGGAAGTCTTAGTTTAAGAAAATTCAGCGGCCAAAACACGCGGGCTTTAAAAAAAAAATCCAAAGGACTTAATTAAAATATAACTCATTTTGAATTTAATGGCCAGACAAGAGCAAGATTCGGAGAAGAAGTGCCAGCTGGGCATTTCTTGTTATCTTGATGGACTTAGCTGTGGAAAGTGTTGCTAATTGGGGATCTAGGAGTGAATTATTCCAGGAGGGCTGGGGGAGATTTGGTGGTTGATGGGGGTGGGGGGATGAGGTGAAGAAAGGTAAGAATTTATCCTGAGAAGTAAACAAAGTGAGGGGAATACGCTGGCCGCTTAGTCACATGGGCAGAAGATTTATTCGCGATTTTCGGACACCTGGCCCCTGCACACGGTAAAGATGTTGCTTTAATGAAGTTACAAGTTGCTTTCTGAATTTTAAAAGCTACCACCCTGGCTTGCTGATTCGTGGTTCAGGTCTCTGCACGTGTGTGTACTTGTGTGTGAGAGAGAGACCAAAAAAGACCTTCCCTTATGCGGGGGCAACCATCTGGGTTAAACGCTGGGGGAGGGCCACGATTCAGGGCTGCGCAGAGCCTGCCCCATCCTGACAAGTCTGAGGGGAGAGGGTGGCTTCACCCTCAAGGTTTCAGGGCTCTGGAGTGAGCCTTTCCATGGAGGAACCCTTGCTTGGCGAGCCCCTGGAGCACCAGTGCCAGAAGGCAGGGACCCAGCTTCCCGCCAGACACAGAGGGCAAGATTCAGTGCTGCTCACCCGTGCCGGCACCCCAGACTCCTTTCCCCAGCACTCTCACCCCCAGGAGCACCTTCCACCGGCCTTTAAACCCCTAGACCCTGGGCAGGCAATCTTCCTTCCTCAGCTGGATTCAGAGGCTGAACAAGGTAGAGAAATGTTCGGAGGCTCCAGGGCCTGGGGACCCAGCTGGATTTGGGATTCCTCCTGGAGGCAACTGGACCCTCCTAATTAGCACCAGCATCCACTGCTTTAAATCCCACAGTGCGAAGGGCCCCCATCCCATAAGCGAAAGAAAGCACTTGATTGCATTTTGAATGTAAAAGGAAGTCTCTGGGCAGGTGGAGGTAGAAGATGGATCAGTAAATGACTAATGGCTAATAGAAATGGTGTGTCCCGGGTCTGTGCGATGGCGGTGCAGATAGGGAGTTCGCCTGTTGGATAAAGAAAAAGGAGACCCTGTAGGAAGAAATAATCGCTGGCAGGATTTCCAATCTTTCTAAGAATGTGCGGCTACTTAGAGTTGTTCTGTGCAGGGCTGCGGGGACCATATACTTATTCTTCTGGGTTTCCAACATCCCATTTCTTTTCCCTAAAACACAGGTAATATTTTTCCCCTGCCTATCGGTCTCCAGAATCATCTCCCTTGTCAATTTTCCGACCTTCCTATATATGCCCTCAGATTGGCTTGTTCTTTCAAGTTCGCTCTCTGCCAGATGAAAATACACACTCAATATTAGCCTTGTCTTTCAATATTAGCCTCCCATCTTTCAACCCTATGCACTGAGATTTATTTTATTATACACGTATAGGGTGGGTGGGGTGCTGGGGAGGGATGAACACCATCTAGGGTGGGGAGAGAGAGTGCTGTCTCTTTCCTTTTAACAGAATATTTATATTCAACTCAACTTTCTGGTCTGGTACTTCGCCTCTTTCCCTGACCAAAACTGCAGCCTGGTTGGGGGTGGGAGGGTAGGGGGAACCTGAGTGCTGTGGAACCATGGATGTCTCAAATGAAAGTTTCACAAAGCAATGGCTGGAAATTAAAAAAAAAAAATCAGACCTAGTCCACCCAGGCGCCCTAAATAAACAGCCCCGTTTGCAAATTCCTATCAATTATTACGTGATGGGAAAAAATCCTATCTGAAAATAAAGCACGTGGACGTGGAGAATTTTAATTAAATCTTACTGTGGATATAATAACATGGAAGTGATTTTTCATTCGGCGCTTGCCTGCTCACCAGTGTTTTATGGCGTTTTCTTGCCTCTGACTTTATTTTAAAATATTAGACGAGGTGGAGAATTATAAACGACTCTTTCCTTATCTGTACTGCTCACATATCCAGGATCAGAGGAGCTGATTAAGAAAGAAGTCAGAGGCAACGTTGGATTCATAATGATTTGGAATAATGAATCCTTATCTCTGCTTTCCAGATTATCTGCCTTTCAGCTCCCAATGTTTTGTTACATGGGATAATTTATTGCATCTAATACATCACAATGAATCTGATGGTAGAAAGTGATGGCCAACGTTGTGAAAGGGGGCCCTTATTTTTTATCCCGGGGCAATGAAACTGCTTTTTGCAGTTTTTAATTGGGAAAATATAAGGTAGATCTGATAAAAAAAAAAAAAAGAGCTGGGTATAATCTTGCCTGTGCGTGCTTTACCACGCTGCTCTTTAATTAGTGTGTCAATTTCAGGCTGAAATTAACAAGATCGACCTGAAACCAGCGCTGAGTTTCTCCCCAGCACGGAGATCCTAATTTTTAACATGATTTATTTTTATGAAAAAGGAGATAATTAATCATAAACACTGACGAAAGCACAGAGCCAAGTTAAGATAAAACGCTATTTTCATCTTTATATAGAAAGATACCAATAATGCTATTTT